GCGCCGTGACTCGTGCCCGAAGCCGGGCCCGTTCGCCGCTGATCTCCGTGCGGTGCGTCGCGGCCTCCTGTGCTTAGGAAACTGGACGGCGCGCGGGCTCCCGCCTGGGGCCGCTTTAGACAGCAAGATTCCCGCCAGAGAGCACAAAAATGGGACGACCGTGACCCTGGATAGGCTGCGGAATGGACACTTAACTGTATCAGAGGGGAAACACGAAAGAAGGCGGGTGTCGTCCTGTGTGACCTTGGCAGGGAAGTGCGTTCCTCGGGCAGCTCGAGTTGTTCGCCATCTGCACACGTTTGTGAACAGCTGCCCCAGTCCCGCAAGCGTTGCTTTTGCAGTTGCAAATAAACGTCTCACATGGGCACCTTCGCACGCCCATGATCCACACACGAGAGCCTCGGGTGTGTGTGTATCTGTACGTGCACATACCCATTTTTTTAGTCTTTTTCTGAGCCATTTGCGAGTATGCCGAGTATGACCGGGGTGCCCCGTCACCCCCCACAATTTGTGTGCGTGTGCCCGAAAGCAGACGTTCCGACATCACCATTCCGTGGCCGTCCACATAAGGAAGTCAGTATCAAGACGGCATTAAGGTCCAACCCACAGCCTCCATTTGGATTTTGCCAACTGTGTCCACGTCTCTTTTTCTTTCCTGCTCCAGGGTCCCATCCACGATCACATGTGCAGTCTCATCCCTGCTGGGACGGGCCCTCCGTCCTTTCTGTCCCTGACAGTTTTTATTAAAGGCCACAGGTTTTTCTTACATGTGAGATGACTGCGACGACTCGGGGTCCATGGATGTTTCCTCGGGACCAGATTCAGGTCATGTTTTTTAGTAGCAATGCTGCAGGAATGGTGCCGTGCTGCGACCCACCCTACCGTGGGTGATCCTCCCCTCGATTACCTAGTCATGTGGATGGCTGCTAGGTTTCTCCTTTTTGTCACTGGTAAATTGGTTAGTATCTTGTAGGGAGTTACTCTGAGATGCCACCATTATTCTTCATCAGCCTTTGCCCGGCAACCTTTAGCTGCGTCAGTGACTTGTGCCTCGATCACTATGATTGTTGCCAGGTAGCACTTTTTACTTTTTTTAAAGTAAGCTCTACGCTCTTATGTAGGCCTTGAACTCACGACCCCGAGATCCAGAGTCACGTGTTCTACCGACTGAGCCAGCCAGGTGCCGTCCAGATAGTGCTTTTTAAAATTTCCATCATTCCATGGGGTGCCTGGGTGGCGCAGTCGGTTAAGCGTCCGACTGCAGCCAGGTCACGATCTCGCGGTGCGTGAGTTCGAGCCCCGCGTCAGGCTCTGGGCTGATGGCTCAGAGCCTGGAGCCTGTTTCCGATTCTGTGTCTCCCTCTCTCTCTGCCCTCCCCCGTTCATGCTCTGTCTCTCTCTGTCCCAAAAATAAATAAACATTGAAAAAAAAATTTTTTTTAATAAAATAAAATTTGCATCATTCCTTTTACGTTTGTTATTTGGCATTCTATAAGGGAGATATTTCCCTTTCGTTTGTTTTTTTAATCCACTTATTTGTATTAGTGTATACTTGTGGATTTCTCTTTTATTCAGTGCGTCATGTTCTGTTGCTGTCATTTTTTTAAGTTTACTTATTTTTGGGAGAGAGCACGCATGGGAGGGGCGGAGAAAGGGAGAGAGAGAATACCAACGTGATGTCAGCACAGATCCCGACCTGGGGCTCGAACTCACAAACCGTGAGATGACCTGAGCCCAAACCAACAGTCACTTAACTGACTGAGCCACCCAGGTGCCCCTGTTGCTGTTATTTACTTTGATGGCCAGAGAGCCCCGTGCAGCTGGCTCTTGAGTCCTTTTGATGTGTCCCTTCCTTGCTCCCTTCCTTGACTTTTGGTACAAGATGCCCCAGGCTCATTTTTTTACTCTTCCTGCTGCAGTGCTGGAATCCACCATTTCTCCAAGGAGCATTGTTCCTTTTTAGCGGAGGATGGTATTTAGAAATCAAGATTTGAGTGTGTGGTGTGCCTATTGCTACAAGGGTGTCGTTGCTTCTAGGCCTTCTCAGCAGACACGGGCCAGGAAATGTATGCATATTTGCTCACATATACCTACACGTCATAACCATCTGTACTCGTGTGTGTATTTTTTAGGAAAACATCCGTATTCTTACCTTCAGTTCCAATCCAACACCTCAAGATTTTTTGAATTTTCTTTTTGTGTTTGTAAATAATTCCTCCAGCAATAAAAAAACCTGGGTTTCGTTATTCTATTTTCTTTTTTTTTTTT